CACGCCGGCTAACCAGGCCCGCGTCCCGGGCATCGCCTTCGGATGCAGCAACGCGAGCGGCGGCTTCAACACCTCGTCGGCGTCCGGCCTTGTCGGGCTGGGCAGGGGGAGCCTGTCGCTCGTCTCCCAGCTCGGCGTCCCCAAGTTCTCCTACTGCCTCACGCCGTACCAGGACACCAACAGCACCAGCACGCTCCTCCTCGGGCCGTCGGCGTCGCTCAACGACACCGGCGTCAGCTCCACGCCTTTCGTCGCCAGCCCTTCCAGTGCGCCCATGAGCACCTACTACTATCTCAACCTCACCGGCATATCCCTCGGCACGACGGCACTGTCCATCCCGCCCAACGCCCTCTCGCTGAAGGCAGACGGCACCGGCGGCTTCATCATCGACTCTGGCACCACCATCACATTACTGGGAAACACGGCGTACCAGCAGGTCCGCGCCGCGGTCGTCTCCCTGGTGACGCTGGCCACGACAGACGGGTCGGCAGCCACGGGGCTCGACCTGTGCTTCGAGCTGCCGTCCTCAACGTCGTCGCCGCCGGCCATGCCGAGCATGACGCTCCACTTCGACGGCGCGGACATGGTGCTCCCGGCGGAGAGCTACATGATGTCGGACTCCGGCTTGTGGTGCCTGGCCATGCAGAACCAGACCGACGGCGGGTTAAGCATTCTCGGCAACTACCAGCAGCAGAACATGCACATCCTCTACGACGTTGGGCAGGAGACATTGTCGTTTGCTCCGGCCAAGTGCAGCACGCTCTGATCAGAGCTTTACAGAACTGCAAACATGTGTGTGCATAGGTTTCATGATGATTTATCTTTTGAGTTTTGTTATATATGTAATAATGGGCCGTCAAGAAATCTGTTTCAATTTTTTTTATGGAAATCCTATTCCAATTCAAATGCTGAAATTCGAACTAGACTACCACAAGCAATAGATACATATAGCATTGACTTGTCGGCTGGGCGCAGTGCTATTTCCCTTGTGACAGTCTAGTTGTGGTTTAGTTTGATATTTATTTTTTGTTTTAGGAAAAGGAATTTTTAGGGCGTGTACTAGAGTTGTGTTGTAAATAAAGCAGGAGATATTTTTTCCTTTGGGATCGATGTACTTCATTCTTCATTTTTTTGTCAGGGTTTTATTCTTCATTTGAAATGCACTTCTCAGGAGCATATAAGCATCACAAATTCATTTTCAATACCTACAAGAAACAAAATTATTTATCTTTGCATGTCCTCTCTATTTATCTTCTAACGCAGTATCCATATAAATACTTTATAACCTCTATCCAATTTTTTTGTAATAAACTTATCACCTATTGTATATGTTATTTCATCCATGTCCATATTTTTCCTCTCTCTCTCTCTCTCTTTCTCTCTCTCTCTCTCTCTCTCTCTCTCTGCTGAGCACTTACGTGTGCCTCCTAGATGAATTTAGTTGATACCTTGTTTGTGCAATTTTTTGTTTCAAATTTAAATACAAACTCTTGTGCATATTGTACTGTTTATCAAAACTCTCGTTTAAGGATGCACCACAATGCTCAAGATAGCATATAGTTTAAAGTGAGATCTAAAACTAGGCCTAGGTCTTATAATTACGAGAATATTATAATTAAGACAAATCTCAAAAACTTGGGAGATCATAGTCAATTTTGGTGTGCACTAACCTCCTTCGTGGCTCAAGATATTGAATTGTCTTATCAAGAATTACATGTGTAGTGGTACTTTTTTATAAAAGAAAATAGTATAACAATACTATCAATATAAATGTCATAATGTTTTAGTTGAAATATAAAATTGTATCTAAAGTGATACCTGTGTAATGACCCAAAAAATACAATCTTATTAAACTTTTTGTTAAATCCTTGTAAAACATGCCTTCTACCTTAGGTCAGCCCGAGAAGCCCAAGCCCAGGTGTGGATCTTGGTTGAGGCCAAGATGGACCATGGCCCTCCTTACTCAACTTAATCACCATTAAGTAAATAATAGTTTCGGTACTGTTTATGGGGGGGGGGGGTTAGAGCTCAGTTACGACTAGCCCGTCCTATTAATTCGGTCAAACTCCAACACTGCTGAGCTCGTGACATGAGCCTAACCAACATATCACCATCCTTGGATGTCTTGGTCATAACCTTTTCTCTAAAACCCTCTTGCATCATCCCTCTCGATAAGATGTTCCTCGGCGGCGTTCTCTACAACAGTGGCATGACCATTGTAAATCCACATCAATGCACCTTCTTATCTTGAGTAGTGCCCATTCAAACATATTCCCTTCTCTATGTACAGTAAACTTTGATAACCTTCACCCTAAGCAAAACTATGATAATCTAATTCTTGCTTGTTCCTCAACAAGTTGGCGCCTCTCCATTTCGAGGTACGCTTGTTGATCCCTCGAGGCGCTTGAACTGTCCACGGAGGTACTCATGGTACTCTTGAGGGCCCTCCACCATTGTGGGGTGTCTGCCATGTATCACTCCCCGAGACGGCTGGTAGCTTCTCATGCTTTCATTATCTTAGGCGGAACTACAGGTGGAGTAGCCAAGAAATTGCCAAGGATCCGGAAGTGGGTAAGATCAGTGATGTTGAACTTGGTGATGTCATCTGCCATTAGGCTAATCATGCCAACAAACATGTAGTGGAAGTCAGGGACAAAGTGTAGATGCATCTTATGGAGAAGCTCATCTTGGATGGTGCGGGGCCGTGTTCCCGAGCCCGACAGGGTACTCTTGAGGCCCCTCCAATCGTTGTGGGGTGTCTCGTGTCCGCCAGGTAGCACTCTTGAGATGGTTGGTACTTGTCATGCTTTCATTATTGGATGCAGAACTACATGTGGAAGTAGTCGAAGAACCTGGCGAGGATCCCAAAATGGTTAAAATTAGCGATGTCAAACTTGGTGATGTCGTCCGCCATCGGGCTAATCATGCCAACAAACATGGAGTGGAAGTTAGGGACAAAGTGTAGATGCATCTGGAGAAGATTGTCTTGGATGGTGCGGGGCCGTGTTCCTGAGCCCGACGGGGTACTCAGGAAGGGCATGTGGCAATTCCTCTGCCAACAAAAATCAAATATGAATCATAGAGGTGGAGTTTAGCAAATCCATCTACCATGAAATCTAGGCTTCTGAATTGGAAAGCCTGGATGCTAACAAAGGTGGGGGCAATGCAAAGTTACCCCCAACAAGTTAGCGGTGAAGTCCATACTATGCCGAAGGCGATGGTGCTGCCTAGAGCTAAGTCGTCAATGCCATTATCGAAGAAACCCATCCGACTTATTTAAACGAATCTGCACCCAATGTTCTCCTACCTGGTGTGCCAATTGTCGATATTTTTTAACCTCCGACGATGATGAGTAATCAACGAATCATGTGCATTAGATTAGAGAGATAGTGTAGTTCGGGGATAGGGTTACAAATAGAATGATGCCCCAATTGAGTTACAAGTTGGTTAAATAGACAGTGGTTTCTATGTATACCCCTTATCTGTTTTAATTTTTCCTCTGATCAGTTGGATCCGCCCCCACTCCCTTCCATGGCATTGGTTTTTTTTATCTTCGGTAAGGATAGCCAGGGACCATATAGTTGACAAGGGTCCAATGTAAATTGTATAAAAAATTGATCAAAACTAAATTTTCCAATGAAAATTACACTGACTTAGGGTTCCCACTCCCTCCACCACTAGCTTCTTATGTAATGTTTTTTCCCCATCTGGCATTGCCGTGTAATTGAAAAAAAGGAAGGTTGTGTTACCCTTGCGTATCCATGTTATTTATTCTTGGATCTTGGTGTGCTCTCGGCCATTCTATTGATCCCAATACAAGGGACGATCTTGTTTAAGGTAGTGTCATAGTTCCATCTCCTCGTTTTAATCTGAAGCCTCCATAAAAGTCATATTCTATCGCCAAGCATAGGCAGTGGTAGAACTCAAATAAGCAATCACCTGTAGATCGGTATTGGGATCGAAAAGACTTCGTGCCATTCCGTTATACGTTAACAGGAAGTTTCTCATGTATCATTTGCATGTTGATACGTCCATTAATTTTATCCTTGGCTCAGCAAATTAGGTTGAGATCACCAGGAACAACTAATGTGGTTGCATTAGATTTTTTAGATCAACTAATTCAGAGATAGAACTCAATTTGTCACGCCTACCATACTTTGTCACGCCTGGCCTCAGCATGACAGCGGACAGCCTATGTGGTCACAGCACACGTGCCATGACATGAAAAAAGAGGGTCAATGGTATTGTTTGGAGAAGGATAAGGTAGTACCGTAGTAGTAGTACATTTACATGGGTTAGAAATAAATAAATAAAAATCACTAAACCAAAATAGCTGTTTTCTTTGAAGAAATAAGCATTCATCCTACTTTACTTTATCTTACTTCATTGCAACCCTCATCTTTTTTTTTCTCCATCTCCATGTTCCGATTGCTGCTGCTGATCTCAGTTAGTACCAACAGAGGTGGAAAAATTTGCAGTCGATACCTGCACACGGTTCTTCGCCTACGTTCTTCTGATTCAGTCAATTTCCTGCATCTGACCTGCTTTTGGACCACGACGGCTGCTGCTGCTTCCTCAAAAAGTGCCTAACAATTATCCAACGACCACAGGCCCCGTTCAATTTAGTAGAACCATGTTTGAACACTTATTGCCCGCACGCCGAACAAATAGGTCACCTAATCCCTTAAAAATTCAGCGCCCATACAACCGTAGGCGACACCATCTTGGCGTGAGCACGACAACAATTGCTAGAGCTGCAGACTGTTCCATCTCTTCCAGGCAACTCACCAACTGAGACCAGCACAAGATGGCGGCTCTGACCAGGTATTAGAGCCTTAGAGGCTAGCTTAGATCAAGCAAGCCACAGGTCATCCATGATCACCTTATATGATGCTCACATTTCTCGATGCCATTCCATTCTTGCATAATCATTCCAGCCACCACGTCTTGCATGCTCCTAGCTTGTCATCACTAGATCAATGTTGTCATCGACATCACAAATGGCGTCGCTCGCCGTGCTCGTCTTCCTGGTGGTCTGCGCGACGCTTGCCTCCGGCGCCACCAGCGTCCGCGTCGGGCTCACGCGCATCCACTCCGACCCCGACATTACCGCGCCCGAGTTCGTGCGCGACGCACTGCGCCGCGACATGCGCCGGCAGCAGTCCCGGTTTTTCGGCCGCGAGCTCGCAGAGTCCGAGTCCGACGGCGGGCGCACCACGGTGTCCGCGCGAACCCGCAAGGACCTGCCCAACGGCGGGGAGTACCTGATGACGCTAGCCATCGGCACGCCGCCGCTGTCGTACCCGGCCATCGCCGACACGGGCAGCGACCTCATCTGGACGCAGTGCGCGCCCTGCGGCGCCCAGTGCTTCGCGCAGCCGGCGCCGCTGTACAACCCGGCGAGCTCCACCACGTTCGGCGTGCTCCCGTGCAACAGCTCCCTGAGCATGTGCGCGGGGGCGCTGGCGGGGGCGGCGCCGCCGCCCGGGTGCGCCTGCATGTACAACCAGACGTACGGCACCGGGTGGACAGCGGGCGTGCAGGGCTCCGAGACCTTCACCTTCGGCTCGGCGGCCGCCGACCAGGCCCGCGTCCCCGGCATCGCCTTCGGCTGCAGCAACGCCAGCAGCAGCGACTGGAACGGCTCGGCGGGGCTCGTCGGCCTGGGCAGGGGCAGACTGTCGCTCGTGTCGCAGCTCGGCGCCGGCAGGTTTTCCTACTGCCTCACGCCGTTCCAGGACACCAACAGCACCAGCACGCTCCTCCTCGGCCCGTCGGCGGCGCTCAACGGCACCGGCGTCCGCTCCACGCCGTTTGTCGCTAGCCCGGCCAAGGCGCCCATGAGCACCTACTACTACCTCAACCTCACCGGCATATCCTTCGGCACGAAGGCACTGCCCATTTCTTCGAACGCCTTCTCCCTGAAAGCCGACGGCACAGGCGGCCTCATCATCGACTCCGGCACGACCATCACCTCGCTGGTGAACGCCGCGTACCAGCAGGTCCGCGCCGCGGTGCAGTCCCTAGTGACGCTGCCCACGACCGACGGGTCGGACTCCACGGGGCTCGACCTGTGCTTCGCGCTGCCGACTCCGACGTCGGCGCCACCGGCCATGCCGAGCATGACGCTCCACTTTGACGGCGCGGACATGGTGCTCCCCGCGGACAGCTACATGATCTCGGGATCCGGCGTGTGGTGCTTGGCCATGCGGAACCAGACGGACGGCGCCATGAGCACGTTCGGAAACTACCAGCAGCAGAACATGCACATCCTCTACGACGTCCGGAAGGAGATGCTGTCGTTTGCTCCGGCCAAGTGCAGCACTCTTTGACGATACCAATACCATAGTTGTATATATATATACAGTTACTAATATATATGTGTGCATAGGATTCACGATTTTTGGAAACTGGAATTTGTTCAGAATTCTTAACTGAATAGTCCAAATGTGGCTTGAAAAATACATGAACGAGACAATCGATATATGGGTTTTGAGTTTTGACAAGTAAACATGGAATCGATGACTGAAGTAGCATACATTGATCTGACTTAGCATACCCTTGAGTTATTGAAAACTGAGATTTGTTCAGAATTGTTAACTTAGCATTCCAAATGTGGCTTAACAATTACATGAATGAGACACTCGATATATGGGGTTCAACAAGCAAACATGAAATCCATGACTGAAGAATACGTAGGTCTGACGTGGACAGACGACCAAAAGATATACAGCCTGTTCGTTTGCTCGTAAACGATCGTAAATTTCCAGCCAGGAACAGTGTTTTTTTCTTACACCAAACCAGCCAGCAGTAAATAATCCACGATACGATACGGCCTCCCGAACAGACTGATAGTTCTTAACAGGTCCCGGGCTAAGCGACGATATGCCACTCAATTCAACCTCCCACTCTGACCCCGTCTTCTCTTCCTTTTGAAAGACACCCTCTGGGCTGGTTTGACATTTTGATTTCTCATGAGCTCCTGACGGTCTCTCTCCTCCTGTCTCTCCTCCTGCAATAACGCGAACATCAGCTCCGAGTATTTGCCATAGTTTGCCATCCTATGCAGCTGATGGCGGATACGCTGATCATTTCTTCATCTGTGATTTCTTTGTCACAGAGCTTGAGTTGAGAGACTGTGCGTCGCAGAGCCGAATCATATGCAGTCACAGAGTCAAAATTGCCGAAATGCAGGCTGTCCCAGTCCAGCTTCGCTCCTGGTAGCTCTACCGCCTTCATCCTATCAAAGTGATCCTTCAAAGATTGCCATATAACAAGTGGATCCCGTTCGAGCATATACTCGTTTTTGAAATCTTCGTTCAGATGGCGGCTGATGTAAAACAAAGCCTGTGCCTTCTGCTGATTACTGCACTTGGTGCCTGAGACAATTGTGTCGCTGAGATTATTCTGCACTAAATAACTCTCAACATTTCTGGCCCAAGTGACATAGTCTCTTCGAGTACCAAATGGCATGAGCCTGGGAAAGTCTGGTTGCACCACGCTAGACATATTCCTACGATACATAAGAGATACTTAGGCTGTGTTGCTATATCAGGTGGTGCATAATGACATCAGCCTATGAATTATAGTGGAATAACCCACTCCTCATGCATAAACTAATTATTAGATTTTAAAAAATTAATGGTGATAAATCAATCCATTCCATTCTATGCGGTGGTGGATCTAGAAAAAAAAGTTGGAGGGGTTGAGCATATATAAAAAAAAGTCTTTGTCCCAAACAAGTTGGGGTAGGCTAGAGTTGAAACCCAACAGAAACAATCAAGGTTCAGGCACGTGAATAGATGTTTTCCAAGCACTCCTATCTAAGGCTAAGTCTTTGGGTATATTCCATCCTTTCAAGTCTTTTTTTATTGTTTCTACCCAAGTCAACTTCGATCTTCCTCTGCCCCTCTTCACGTTACTATTCTGCCTTAGGATTCTGCTACGCACCGGTGCCTCTGGAGGTCTCCGTTGGACATGTCCAAACCATCCCAACCGGTGTTGGACAAGCTTTTCTTCAATTGGTGCTACCCCTAATCTATCACGTATATCATCGTTCCGAACTCGATCCATTCTTGTATGACCGCAAATCCAACGCAACATACGCATTTCCGCGACACTTATCTGTTGAATATGTCGTCTATTCGTAGGCCAACATTCTGCACCATACAACATAGCAGGTCTAATCGTCGTCCTATAAAACTTACCTTTTAGCTTCTGTGGTACCCTTTTGTCACATAGGACATCAGATGCTTGGTGTCACTTCATCCACCCTGCTTTGATTCTATGGCTAACATCTTAATCAATATCCCCATCTCTTTGTAGCATTGATCCTAAATATCGAAAGGTATCATTCCTAGGCACTATTTGACCTTCCAAACTAATATCTTCCTCCTCCCGAGTAGTAGTGCCGAAGTCACATCTCATATATTCAGTTTTAGTTCTACTGAGTCTAAAACATTTGGACTCCAACGTCTCCCGCCATAACTCCAGTTTTTTATTCATTCTTGTCCGGCTTTCATCAACTAGCACTACATCGTCCGCGAAAATCATACACCAAGGGATGTCCCCTTGTATATCTCTTGTGACCTCATCCACCACTAAGGCAAACAGATAAGGGCTCAAAGCTGACCCTTGATGTAGTCATATCCTAATCGAAAAGTCATCCGTGTCTCCATCACTTGTTCGAACACTAGTCACAATATTGTTGTGCATGTCCTTAATGAGTCCGACATACTTCGTTGGGACTTTATGTTTGTCCAAAGCCCACCACATAACATTCCTTGGTATTTTATCATAAGCCTTCTCCAAGTCAATATAAACCATGTGTAGGTCCTTCTTCTTCTCCCTATACCGCCCCATAACTTGTCTTATTAAGAAAATGGCTTCCATGATTCACCTTCCGGGCATGAAACCAAATTGTTTCATAGAGACCCGCGTTATTGCTCTCAAGCGATGCTCGATAACTCTCTCACATAGCTTCATAGTATGGCTCATCAATTTAATTCACCGGTAATTAGTACAACTTTGAATATCTTCTTTATTCTTGTAGATCGATACCAATATACTTCTTCTCCACTCGTCAGGCATCTTGTTCGATCGAAAAATATGGTTGAACAGCTTGGTTTGCCATACTATAGCTATGTCCCCGAGGCATCTCCACACCTCGATTGGGATATCATCCAGTCCCATCGCCTTACCTCCTTTCATCCTTTTCAACGTCTCTTTAACCTCAGATTCTTGATTCTCCGCACAAAGCGTCTATTGGTGTCATCAAAAGAGTCATCCAACTGAAAGGTTGTGTCCGTATTCTCACCATTGAACAATTTGTCAAAATACTCTTGCCATCGATGTCAAATCTCATCCTTCTTCACCAAGAGATGCTCCCTTTCATTCTTAGTACACTTAACTTGGTTGAAGTCCCTTATCTTTCTCTCACGAACCCTAACCATCCTACAAATGTCCTTCTCTCCTTCGTTCGTACTTAAATGTTGGTAAAGATCCTCGTACGCTTTACCCTTTGCCACACTTAGAGCTCGTTTTGCAGTCTTCTTTGTCACCTTGTACTTCTCTATGTTGTCCACACTCCTGTCATGGTACAAGCGTCTATAGCATTCTTTCTTCTCCTTAATAGCCCTTTGGACTTCCTCGTTCCACCACCAAGTATCTTTAGCCTCGCCTTTACTTTCTTTGGTTACTCCACACACCTCTGAGGCCACCTTTGAATGTTGGTTGCCATCTTCTCCCACATGTTGTTTATGTCCTCTTCTTCCTTCCAAGAGCCCTCTTTGATAACCATTTCCCTGAATGCCTCTGACGTCTCCCCTTTCAGTTTTCACCACTTTGTTCTTTTAATCTTAGCTTGTTTATCCCTATGGGTACGTACCTGAAAACGAAAGTCTGCCACCAAAAGCTTATGTTGAGAAACAACACACTCCTCTGGTATCACCTTGCAACCCAAGCATGCTCGTTTGTCCTTTCTTCTTGCGAGGACAAAGTCAATCTGGGTAGAGTGTTGTCCGCTACTGAAGGTCACTAGATGAGATTATCTCTTTCTAAAGAAAGTGTTGGCTATCATCAGGTCAAAAGCTACCGCGAAGTCCAGAACTTCCTCCCCCTTCTGATTCCTACTACCATACCCAAAACCTACATGAACTGCCTCGAAACCTACGCTTGTAGTACCTACATGCCCATTAAGATCTCCTCCTATAAAAAGCTTCTCACTACTAGGTACAGCTCTAATCAGGCCATCTAAGTCTTCCCAGAACTATCTCTTAGCACTCTCGTCGAGGCCTACTTGGGGGCATACGTACTAATTACATTCAAGACCATATCACCAACGACAAGCTTGACTAAGATAATCCTATCTCCTTGCCTTCTCACTCTCATCACACCATTCTTGAGGCTCTTATCAATCAAAACTCCTACTCCATTTCTATTCGCGACTGTCCCTGTGTATCAAAGCTTGAAACCTGTATTGTCCACCTCCTTCGCCTTCTGACCCTTCCATTTAGTCTCTTGAACACATAATATATTTACACGTCTCCTAGTCGTGGTATCAACTAATTCTCTTAACTTACCTGTAAGCGACCCTACATTCCAACTACCTAAACGAATCCTAGTTGGTTCGACTAGCTTCCTTACCTTTCACACCCGTCGACTCAGATGTGAAGACCCTTGCTCATTTTTCACTACACCCGGGCGCCGATGTAGCGTGCCACTAAGGAAGCGACGACCCGATCCTTGCTCACTTGACACCATGCCCAGATCGCGACACGGCGCGTCACCAAGGGGGTGCCGACCCGGCCCTTGCCCATTTAACACCATACCCGGGTTCCGATATGGCACGTCGCTAAGAGGGTTACGCCCCAACGGTTTTCTTTCGGGATTCATCTCCATTAGAATGGCTAGATTTAACGTTGGCTCGCCACGCCTATCACAACCCTCCTCCTTTACCAGAGCATATATAACAGGTACCAAAACAATCTAAATCCATTATATCACATACTTTGAAACACGGCTGATAATTGAAACAGCAGATCAAAGTCATGGAACCATATTTTCTGAAAGAATCTCCAGTCCACATTTTGCTATTTACACAAAGCAGCACATATATGAATGAATAATTAATTATTCGAGCATTGTAGAACAACTTCGATAATAATTCATTGAACTCAAAAAGATGTATGATGCATAAGATTCATTCAGCCTTTATTTCCAATTTCCAAAACAAAAGGCGGAAAAAAAAGAACCCCAATTTATGTATTCTGTAGCCAGTGACTAGGCACAAATTGACGGTTGCTAATTATGAGTTCTACAGCTAGGTAATCAG